CTAAAAAACATTTCTGTTCTAGTTAATGACCCCAATTGCAATCCATCTTTACCTTCAGCCTTTGAAGAAATTTAGTTTTAGTTTTTCTCATTCATCAATAGATGGCGCCAGTAGCTTAACTTCTGACCAATTTTTCTTATCTTTCTTCACCCTTTATGTGGTTCATTTGCACTTAGCAGCTGAAGAAATTAGTTAAAAAACTATCGAAACTAGTACTGCAAATTTTTTTTTTTTTTTTTAAATTTATGCCGATTCTTAATGTTGGACATTTTTTTTTATTACAAGTCAATAGTATGAGGCAGATATTAATGACAATAAACTTTTATTAAAATTAATTCAAAGAACATCATTGTCCATTAAGGCTATTGGTGATCCATATGTAAATTCCAGTAAATTTACATATATTTTAAAAATAAAAGTAAACTGAGTCTGTCAAGGCAATTGATTAGGGCGATTTACAATCATATTGTTGAATTTAGTATAGATAATTTTAGTAAACTACATTTAAATTGTATTCTCTCTTGTATAATGTAACATGAATGGCCTCAAAAATGCAAAGCTTTCCTGGAAAAATAAGGCTACAGCAGCAAGTCCATTCAACATTAAAGGTATTTGGCTATTGGCAAGATAGTGCCAAGCAGATAATGGTTTTGATAACTAATATTTGCAACCACATTTGGCGACAAATCACCAAAAGTCCCCAAATTTGGTGACATTTTGATCCGATTCCTGTATAATTGTAAGTTGTCCGATTTCCAGCAATTTCAAGAAATTGAAGATACTGGAAATTTCCCAGCAGATGGAGGAAATTACAGGATTTGGGCATTTCTCACTCCGCATGATAAGACCGCACTGTGAGATCCCTCACCCTTCACAACCAGGCACAGAAGTTCAACCTCTGCTCTCGCAATACCATAATTTTTGCTTGATATTTCTCCAATATATCAAATGTTTATGAATAATATTTTAAATGTTTATAAATAAATGTTTGTTTTAAATGAAGACAACCTGCAGTATTATGACTTTTAATTATCATATTTCATCAGAATAATGAACAGTTGACCTGAAATATTTTAGTGTATCATTTTATATAAGATTTTTTTTTGGCCTATAACTTCACTGACTGAAGGAGAAGACACATCGCTTTTGCGACACCAGTCGCTGACTATGATTTGCTACCTGCCAGTCACAGAGGGACATTACCCAGCCTCTCCAGGGTATCATTCCAGGAATACCCATGATGCCACACTAGGTTACCATAGCGATCTGCTCTAGGACATGCCAGACCCCAGGCCGGCCAATATGTGACCTTTCTGGAGCCTTCAGAAGCACTAGGTTCATAATTTGTATACCCCCCATGGCCTCAGTATTGATCCTAGCCAGTAGCTTCACAGAGTTTTCTACGTTGATCCCTGGGGTGGAAGATACGGAAAACTATATAAGACTCGAGAGAGCATCAGTTTAGTTCAAAGTTGAGCTCGGGTATTGAGAGATTGCTATTTTAAGCTTTCGAACTGCCTTGTACTTAACCTTTTTAGCAGTTTGATATGCTAACTACCGATTGTGCTGTGTCATACTGAGGACAGTTGTATGAGTACTTTTGTGAAAATTTCCAGAAATGTAAAGTTTTTCTTTTGGGAAAATAAATTTCATAAAGATACCAAAGGTTCTGTGTGCATTAAATCCATTATGAACCTATACGCATATAACAATGTTTGTCCTGATGTTCAAGTTCTCATTAAATTAACACATTTATAATGTTTTAACAATTTTTATAATGACTAGTTAAAGGGAAAATACACAGCTATCTCCAGAGGGCCTAATTTGAAAATATATTCCATATGAATATTGAAATACAGTAAAAAATTGTTTTAACTTATGAGGTAAAGCTTGTTGTTTATGTTTTAGGTTTATAATTATTTTTTTAAAAATTTTTGCTTTGTTTTTAAGATTATATATATAAATTTTAACAAACATGTATATATGTAAAAAAGTAAATTTAAAGTTAAAATAATTAAAAAAATGTGCAAACATATAAAGGATTAATAATTGTTGCGAAACTAATCTACAATATCATTTTAAATTCAGAGAGCATAAGTAAATCAAGTATCAAAACCAAACCATGAAAATAAATTCACCAAAATTAGCAAATTTCAAAAATTATCTTAATCCTAAAAAATTTTTTAAAAATACATAAGTGAATGACTTGTTGAGCAGGCAGGAGACAGACTTATCAAGGGGAAAGTTGCCTCCAAACCTAACTCTCAATCATTCAATTCGTGTTTCGTCATTCCGTGCAGGCAAGGGTAAAAGTCAAAACCAAAAGTAAATACATAGTGAAGAATGTTGCAACAATAGATTAATACCATTTAAGTGGTACCTTGAGAAATTAGCAATTAAAAATTAAAGGTCTAAAAGGAAAATACCAATAATGAAGTATTTTGAGAAATAAGCAATGTAAAGTTAGTATTAAATTAAATTTAAAAAAAAATAATTTAGAAACCCTTGTCTACAGAAACCTCCCCGACACGAATACACACACACTTTTTACACAAAAGAAATTAAACGGCTGTTAAAATTTAATTAATGAGATAGCTGATATTGTTTGATACAAATGAGCTTCTCAGGATTGGATGATATGCTGGAATCTATGACTCAGCTATGATTTTTCAGTCATTTGCAATTAAAGCAATTTTCACTATCATTTTAAAAATTTATTTTTCTATATAGCATTAACAAAATGTTCATATGTGACTCAAAATGCAAAGGCATTAATGCACAGAAAAGGAATTTATAACTTTTTTGAGAATACATCAAAGGATATTCTTTTACTGGTGGTAAACTAAAAAGTCAGATGACATAATTCTAAGAAACTTCAAGCAAACAAGAGATCACTTAATCAATGCTCCTTATTGATAATATATATTTCTTTAGGACTTTTATATTTTGACTAACTAAAGTTTTGTTTGACAGCAAATAAGAAGCTGAAGGACAACAGATTACTTATCAGTGAATTTAAGCAGTATATTGGAAAATAAGTTTATAAGTAAATAAATAATAAATAAGTAAGAAAATAAGGCAAGTTTATAATAACTATATGGTACAAAGTCCGAAATCTGGACATCTAATTACAAACTAAACTCTAATCTCAGTGGCGCAAGAGCCTTAGTGGGCCACGGCCTGCAGTGTCCCGAAATCTGCTTTCTTGACCTTGGGCCCTGGAGTGCGTCAGCTTGTTCCAGGCCCCCCCCCCAGTGTTAGTCCCTAAGCGAACTTGGTACTCATTTTATTGACCCACTCAAGGGATGAACGGCTGAGTCAACCTCGCCCAGACCGGGGATTGCACCCAAGACCTGTGGTGCAGCTGTTCTGGACATCTAATACCCAGAATAAAATCTTGACCACCAGTAACCTTTTTTTGTATGCTTTGTGCATGTTTACTTGATATATTTTCATAATAAAATGTAAAAAGTTGCGATTTTTAATTTCACTTCGACACTAAATAAAATACCTCCATATTGAGGAAACAATCATTTATTGGCATAAATCCATATGATCAATGACTTAGCATTGTAGCTGCCTCTTTGCTTGGCTTACAACTCATCAACAAAAGACAGCTTGAGAAATGACTCGAAGTCAAAATAATTTTCTTTTTATATATTTAGTAAGTGAATAAATACCACACAGCATGGTAACCTTTTATTTGACATTACATGTGCATTACAAACTGCTGAAGAGCAGAAATTTAATAGAAACTTCATCCCACATGACAAAAATGCATTTTGTAAATGATACTCATAAGCCGAAAGATTACATTCAGTGTTGTTTAAATTGAGAATAACTGGTCTGTTATTCAGATAAGCCCAGGACCGATGCCGGAATTTAGGGGAGGCAAACTTTTTAAAATTTAGAGAAGTACTGAGCAATAAAATTAAGAAATGGTAAAATTTTTAGAATTTAAGGAAGGAACTGGGATGCAAAATTCAGATGACAAAAGTTTTAGATTTTAGGGAGAGATGTTTGGCAATAGAATTTAGGACATGAAGAGACTGAATTGAGTCACTAAATGTCTAGTGCCAGCCATGGTTATGTCTTAAAAGTATAAGTGGGAATTTATTTATTCGGGACTTCGGGACTCAGATACGCTTTAAGCATGTGTGGGAAATAAGTGTGATTATAATAAATTATTAAACTCATATAATTTATATTTAACTTCGTTAGTGTGTGATAGAACCAAGAAAATATTTAGCGGAACAACAGGTCTTTAGCTGGAAATTTCATGATACATTGCCAACAGTGTACAGCAAATGCTAATTAAGCTTTATGATGACAGCCACAAATTTGAAGGTTTTTCAGTTATCACAAACAAAAAGGAAAATTTTCCAATTAATGAAATTAGTGAAGAACAAATGAAGATGATATAATAACAGATGATTTCGCTGCAATGATAATGCTCCAATTGTCAATGAACAAATGGATTGCGAAACCTGCAATAAGGTTCTAAATCAAGAAAATATCACTACTGATAGTGAAGAAAATGACAAAGAGGTGATTGAAAATTGAAAAAAAAAAAAAAAAAAAAAAAAAAAAAAATTGATGATTGAGATATTTTGAATGGAATTTTGTAAGTGAACAAGAAATTATGTCATCTATCGAATTAAAGAGAAAATAGCACAAAAAACAAAGGAACTTAAACAATTTACATTGAGAGAAATGCAAATAAAGCAAGCAAATAAATATTTAGCTTTTTTGGAGGAGGGGGTAAATTTTGACTCTCTTAAGGAATGCTATTTCATGTTTTTAGTTTTATAATTTCTATGGGTCTTCTTACTAGATTTAAACTGATAATCCAATATCAGGAAAAATCCCAAATTTTCAATTGCTGAAGTCCAGATCTGGTACATTTCACAGCACTGTTTCCCCCCCCCCCGCAAGTGACATAATATGATTACCTACGTGATAGCTTTCATAAAATAAGCATTTAAAATAATAAAATAGGGCAATGGTAAAAACTACTTTAATGTACATAATAAGAGATCATAAGATTTACACATATTTAAATACAACATCAGTCTTGTCTTTGGTACTCTGTAGCTCTAATTTTACAGGACACTTGAAAATATAACTCAGCATTTCTTCTGTATAACCTATGAGAAAATATAATTTTCTCACTTGAATATTCCGCACTATAATACCAGCTATAACAATTAAATTGTGTCGTCTTTTGATGATTACTTCAGAGACAAACAACCTGTGCCAGGTACCAAACATAAATTTACGAATAAAAAAGTCTTCAACTGCTGTTTCAGAAGACCTCAGGCCATCCAGCAAATTACCTTTGAGAAAAAACAACATTTACTTTAGGTTTAATAAGTAGCTGATAAATGCTATAAAAGATAAAAATATATTCTTTTTATTATATTTAAATATTCTGATACATACGATTACAATAAAATACATTAATATATGAAGACATCAACATAAAACATTCATCACTTATTTTTGCCACATCCAACAAAAATGAAGCACTTTACAAAGAGATGGTTAAATAATCAACCTATCACTATCATTTTGTTGAAGTGATGAAAAATGCATGTAAGTTTTCTTTCTTCTCTTTTCTGTGTGTGTGTGTGTGGGGGGGGGAGGAACAGAAGAAAGGCCTATTGTTCATTTTTTCCTAAGTTTATTATTACTGGTTATTAAAAGTTTTGATTTAAGTGCTTTTGAATCAAGGACATCACATTTTACTACAGTCAAATACCGAAAATCCGCCGACCTGAAACCAGCCAACTCCTGAAATCCGCGTTGCCTCTCAAAATATAAACATTCAGTTTATAGGTTCCGGAAACTGCAACATTGAGTACGAAATATATCGAAGAAAAAATACTTACCTAATAATGACGTCATAATTACAGAATAATAATGAGTCATAACGGAAATACCAAATTATTGACATAAAAAAGTTAAAAAAAAATAAGATAAAAGGTTTTTCCTCCTCTAATCTCTGCCTCGAGGTAAAAAAGCAGACGATTCACTCAAATCTTCATTCAAGTTCACGATTCACGTTGTTGTATTTTCTGAGCTTTGTTATTTCATGAGATTGTTTAGTGCTGCCTTTTTCTTTATCCTGATATTTTGTGGATAAATTAAGAATATTTTAAATTTCAGCCCTTTTTAATACAATGACAGATAAGAAACGCACTCATGATTTTACTGCTTGCAACGTTGAAAAACGTAAACACATTGCATTGACGGTAATGCAAAAAGTGCAAATTCTGCAAAAAGATGGAGGCAGGTGCTACTCTTCGATTTATAGCAGAATTGTATGGAATTGCGACACGATTGTGTATGATATACGGAAAAATAAAGAAAAGCTGTTGAAATTTTACAGCAACAGTGATTCTAACAGCGGAATCCGAAACCGGAAATCCTTGCATGAGGCAAAATCGGAAAATTTTGATGCTGTGTACATATAATACAATGAATAATATAACCAATTTATATATGTAATAATAATTTAATGCATATAATAAATTATTGCAATAATGTATATAATAATTTAGTTAAATGTATCTAATACGCCTTATTTATTTTGCACTTTTAGTCCGAATATTATGTGTTATCTTTTCTGTCCCGAAATCCGCAAAATCCTAAAATCTGCGCAACCTCTGGTCCCAAGCTTTGCGGACTTCTGGACTTCTACTGTATTATATAAGTATCGTCTAAAGAGAGTTATGCAAATACCACATAAAAAAAATTTCTTACACTTTCATGCTAAGAAATTCCTGGTATTAATGAAAAGTTTTCACTTACAAAACTACTTTTAAATATAATGAAAACAATAATTAATGTACATACTATTATGGCATAAACTTAGTACAATACCTTATATATATGTAAAACAAAATTAAATACAAATATTAACTGATTAAACATTAGTCGAATCTCATTAAAATTCTGAAAATGCCTACTGTAGATTCAGAAAATTCAGGTTAAATAAAATTCAACAAGTAAAATTATGCAGGAAATCACAATGGGTTGAGAAATGAAATTTGCACAATTTAAGTTTTATTAATTCAAAAAATTTCATTTATATCTGGAAAACATTTTCCTTAGTAAAGGCTAAAAATTAATTACCAAGAGATTGGTGATCTCCTGGAAGATGTGATAAAAAAACTGGGAGTCTTGGGATGAAAATGGGAGATATGGCAGCTCACTTGATACATTTACAAATGTTACTTAAGATTAATAAACACTACTCAAGTCTATCACTATTTCTCTTAAAGCAAATCTCAAATTCTAAAAGCTCTGCATAAAATGAAAATATAACTTTAAAAAAATCTAACTGAAATCAAAACGAGGCAAATCTATTTCAGTTGATAAATGAATTTAATTGAAATGATTTCCCAGTATCATATATTTATTACAAGATTCCTCTAACTGTATTCATCAGGAAAATTCTTCAGTCTTTAATTATTATATATTTTTCCCAAATAATTTTTATTACATAAATATATCCACTGAAAGATACTTCACCTTCAAGTCTGATACAGATGTTTTTTACTTATAGTGTGTTTCAAAAAGAAGGAGCTGATTTTACTAGCTTGTAAAATTTTTTTCTTGTATCAAAAAATGTTCACATAACACCTGAAGAACATAATATATACAATTTATTTATGCATTTCATTCAATCAAAACAACTGTCCCCAAGTGAGTTAATATAAAATCGGCTAATTAACAGCACATCATACTCCATCTGCAGCAGACATTCAAGCTTTTGTTAACACCAGAATGACACAGCAAACTGAATGCAAATCTGAGCCAGGCACAGTGTAGCAGCCATACAACTTATTCCAAATCACAGCCAATTGCAACTTTGGTGGTTTCAAGTTCTCTTCTTCTTGAGTGGTGGCATGCATGTATGTGGCCAGATAATGGCCTTCTGAAGAGAGTACCTTTCCTTGACCATTGCTACCAACATGTATGTACAGTAGATACATCCCAGTGGATGAACTATTCTGAAGTCTTTTTAATTGATAACACTTCATCTGAAAATTTTGAAGCTATCCTCGACGCAAGGAAAATTCAATGTCAAATTAAGTAAAAGAATACCATTAGACTTTTTCACTGGTATTGAATTTCACTTTTTTGGGTCTTTGTGAAAAATAGGTCCAAATCTTTTTACTTCTGTGTATATATATATATATATTACTATAAATTTTCTCTTGATTATACTATTATTAACAAAGGGCCTACTCTATTCTAAGTCGTCAAGATAAGCATATGGCATGGAAATTTTATTCTTTTCCAACATTTGTTACTTTTTACTTCCTTGTACAAAGCAAAAAGGAAGTATTGTAATCGCGAAAAGTTTCAGCCATCGTATTTCAACGAAAATATCCCTTTTCATCACTATCGAATGCAATTTAATGATGCTTTTGCACAACATCTGTACGTAAAGGCAGAATAAAGGACTCTGTTCCCCCCCAAAAAATTATAAAACTGATTTAAAATGAATTCTGAAGAAAATTTTTCGTGGCATTTGTGCATGCATATGTATCTCACATAACTCAAAAACGAGTAACCTCAGAACATTGTATATAGGACTGCTATAACATGTAGATGTATTTTGGTTGCAATCAGCTGCACCAAAAGTATATAAATATATGTATACTTATATCCACTCTGTTACTCGACTCAGTGAACTGTTACTTTATATATTTGTAAAATGTGCGTATTTTTTGCTTTAAAAATGATTGAATTATGTTGTTCTTATCTTCTGGTTAAGGTTTTTATTTAGTTAACCTACATGCAATAATTGTGGAATTATCAACAATTTAAAATTTTTTTAAGTGAGGCTAAGCCTAATTTCTGATTAGTATGCCCTCCATGTTTGTTTACATTTAAAACTTAACAGAATAGTGGATTTGTTGCCAATCTAGAGAAACTAAGTCCCAACAACAAAGTAACGTCTCCTTTTATTATTGCGAATTAAATTATGCTTAATTCATTATGGAATTAACATTTAAGTTATTAGCTTATTTTTATATAGAAACTGTAACTTAAATTGTAAAAATTGTTTTTTTTTAATAGTTTTAACTGTATTTGGTGTTTTATGGTTTTCTATAGTCTTAAAATTTTAATGTAATTTTGAATTTTATGTATTTTGCCTTACTGCGAAGTGAAAACTGAATTAATTAGTAGCACATGCGCATTAGGTAAGCGACGTTGAATCGTCTGCAGAAAAGTTTTTTTTTTTGTTTAATTTCTTTCATATATCGTTTTAGATTTAGTATTTGAATAGAACTTATGGTAATTCTTCAGATGATATAGTTTTTGTGCACTCTGAGTTTTTAAATGAATGTTAATGCTGTTAAGTGAACGTAGTGCTGAAGTGTCGCTATGGCAAATAAATATAGTGAACTTTAAAAGAGTGCATTTATTCTATTGTGGTCTAAGCGCTATCGACAAAGTAGATTTAATTCAAAATTCGTTAATTGTTAATTGAATATGTTTAAATGAAATGCGGGAAAATTGCATATAATTTAATTTTCTATACAAGGAAGGCATGTGGTGTACACATCAGATTTTTTCTTACTTGCATTACTATAATGCTTTCCAATCTTAAAAATATAAATTACTTAATATAATATGAATTCACCTTTTGGAAGATTTCATACTTTCCATCGTCAATAGTGCCAAACAGGCAACCATTAGCGTCCATTGTTTCCTTTTAAATTACTGTTTTTTGTTCTTTTGTATTTCCAACAGTTAAGTTAAAAATCTTTGTTCTTTTTTAATTTTTAATATATTTCATAAATTATTTCATTTTAATTTTAGTTAATAGTGTATATTTTACTTTTGCTTCATTAAGCACTGAATTTATTTCATTTAAATTTATTTTAGTATATTTTTATTTCATACTAGTGGAAATACCCGATGACAGTTAAGTTAGATTGAGAGTAATGAATCCAACAACACAGAGAAAGATAATTCTGTAATTCATCTCTAATAACGATGCAAAAAATACTATTCACAGTCATACGTTTTTCAGTCTGATGCGATATGGAACCCGCGTAAAAAATTTAGATAGAAAAATAAACTAATTTTCTCTCATTATATCAGCAACAATGACACACAGTTTTTAATGATTTTCGTCTTTCTAATCAAATGGTTATAAAAGCTCAAGTTCCATACAATATTTCACTTATATTCAATTTGAGTGGATTAAATGTGGAAAAAAATTTTTCATAATTAATCAGAAATCAATAATGTAAATAAACACAAAAACAGATATTCTTCCTTATATATATAATATATAGAGATTTTGTAAAAA